TATTCAAAAAACATCCGAGTGCACTGACTTCTGGCGCCGATAATAGTAAGATATTTTATTTTAATCGCCATCAATTACTAAACAAATGAGAAGTATAGAAAAAATTCGTACTATTCATATCAATATACGTTTAATAGAATTGAGTAGATCATTTAATATTCTATTGTTAATAAACTCGTTTTATCTCATAATTTATCTTCGAATATAAATTATGAATAAGAATAAAATCTTTGGCAAAAAAAGGTTACTTTACAATGAATAGAAATATTTATATCGGAAATAAGATTTTTTGAACTTATGTATACAGATGATTAACTTGTTTCTAGAGATTTTCGTATTTATGTTTAGATGGAACTATTTTAAGTGATTTATTTAAAAATCAAACTTTGTCACTTATTATCCGTATTAGTAAAAAAAACAAACAAACTCCAACAAAAGATGAGAATACAATTGTATTTACAGATATCTATACTATGTTCGCGAATCTACAGTATCTAGACTTCGATTCATCTTCAATTTATTCTCAACACTTATCATTTGATATTCCACCTCCAATTTTTATTTCTTGAACTCTCTTAGAACTACATGTCAATGTAACATTTTTCGACGATTGTCTTTATTTACTTGATAGACGCTTCAATCAACTTCGTGTACTTCATGTTAAAATTACTTGGATTCGTTCTTCAGGTCTAACAATCAATAATACGGTAGATTATTTGCATTAATATCTAATTTATTCAAATGAAGTTTTATCTGTTCTATTTTTGTTTTTAGACAAATTTACCTAATTTAAAATGCTTCTCGTTATATTGTAATACAGATACATTTGTTTATGATGAATTAATTGTTCCACTTTTACATCGAATGTTAAATTTAGAAAAACTTCATCTATATCTTATAATTGGTTGCAAGAACACATTTATTGATAGTAATAATTTGAAAAGAAATATTATCAATCATATGCCACAATTACATATATTAACATTTATCATTCGCTCAACTGTTCGTCTTCATAATCAAATTAATTTACTATCGAATGAAGATATTCAATATACATTCAATGATTTTCAAAATAATCAAATAATTACTTGTGTTGATTATTTTTCAGAGATTGAACGAAGTCAATGTCATATTTATTCATGTCCATATGAATTGAAAGAATATCATAAAATAACAAATAATTTTCCAGGTGGAATATTTAAACATGTTCGTGAAATATCATTATGTGATCAACGACCTTTTGAACATGATTTTTTTTTTCAAATTTCTCAATCATTTCTATTTATGAAAAAAAATAACTCTAATTAATGAAAAACCACAAAGTGATCAACGACCTAGAAAACTAGAAGATGACAATGAACATTTATCAATCATTACATATCCACATCTTTCTGAACTTAATCTTATTGAAGATCATGATGATTATATCGAATAATTTCTTGTTGATACGAAAACGTGTTTACCCAATAGTGTTTATCTTTCTGTCGATTATAAAGTACTGAAAACAGTGACACAAAATTTTACAAGAAATACAACGAGTAAACTGTACAAAACTACGTTCTTTAGGTCTAATTGGTAAATATCGAATTCCTAAATATGTAAAACAATATTTTCATCATACAAAAATATTGTGATTGTTATCAATGTTTTTTTTGAATAAAACATGTTTAAAAGCAGATTAATTTATATAGAATTAAGGCGTTGAAATGAAAAGAAGAGAATGAAAATGAATAATAGTTCCAAATGGATATCAACAAAGTGCTCACG